AGGGCTCAGGGCAGGTCACAACAGTTAAAACGAACATAAGAATTAAATATAACTTAGATTCAAATCAACAATCACAACAGTCACAGTGTTCCTTCTTCACTGGATGGCACAGTAAAGAGAAGTTCAGGAGATGGTCCAAGGTGGGAAGCCATTACTCATCCTTGACCATGTGCCTGGTGGAACAGCTCCATCTTACAGGCCCGGCGAAACTGTTTCAAGTCCCGCAGGGCACAGAGAAGAAGAAGAGATTGGATTTATACCCCGCCCTTCACTACCCAAAGGAGTCTCAGAGCGGCTTACAAACTCCTTTCCCTTCCCCTCCCCGCAACAGACACCCTGTGAGGTAGGTGAGGCTGAGAGAGCTCTTGACAGAAACTGCTCTTTTTTCAAGAACAGCTCTTATCAGAACTACGGCTTGCCCAAGGTCATCCAGCCAGGTTCAAGTGGAGGAGTGGGGGATCAAACCCGGTTCTCCCAGATTAGAGTCCACACACTTAACCACTACACTAAACTGGCTCTCAGGTCTTATTAGACAGTGTTCCACCAGGTTAGGGTTAGGGCCAGGGCCAAAAAGGCCCTGGTCGCAGATAACCGGACGGCCTTCAGGCTGGGGATCACAAGCAAGTTATCAGCTGAGCGAAGTGCTTTTTGGGAGGCATACCAGGAGAGGCGGTCCCTCAGATACCAACAAAGTGTGAATTCATCCCTTTCAGAGACAACAGCTGTGTTATTGCTTATACAGAGTTGGATTCCATGGATGCATTCCACTAACACAGGAGTCTTCCACTGACTGCAAGATGCTCTTCCGCCAGCGGAAGAAGCTCCACTGGGATCATTCTGGTCAGGAGTTGCTGCCTCTTTCCATTTCACTCCAGAACCTCACTACGAGGTCGGCACAAGCTTGTGGGGTGACACGCCGCCGTTCCTTAAACTGGGAGCGACAAACAGATAACTGGCTTATAAGAAACGCAACCTGTAGCCCAAATGCCACGAGGGATGGAGCGTTGTTTCGTAAATAGCTCACGAATGCTTACGCCACAATATATCCTTCAGTGTTCAAGCTTGGATCTTGCCAACCTTTCCACTGGCGCAGGAGGGGAGGAAGAGTGGCATCGCCGTATTCTCCTACTGCCCACAGTCCTCCCACGTATGGCTTTTTGTCAATGCAGGTCACATGATTCCCACCAAAGGCTTGCGAGGGTTCTAAAGGGGTCCCCCCCCCCCATCTTGCATCAGCAGAACGCCTGGCCGGATCCAACGCTTTGGGCAATACTGTTTCTTTCTTTAAAGTTTATAGATCTCCTTTTCTCCTGATGATTCGAGACACTTTTGATAAGAGGAACAAAGGGGGGGGGAATCTCGGTGTTCAGCACAGGCCTCCAAGGCACCATTTGATTTCATTTGCTTGCCAGCATCATCACCCAGTTCGGACCTCCTTCGGCACAAAGTCCTGGCTCTGTGGTTCACCTGCCACACGAGCAATCTCCACTGGGGGCAAAGCAGGGCATTTTCAGTGATGGCTCCCCCCACCCCGCTCTCTCCTTGCCTTTACTTCAGCACCAAAAAAAAAAAGGGTTCTCCAATTAGACTTTGAAAGCTGCAAGTTCCACAGACTATATAGATAAGTTTGGCTGGAGATCTTCAAAGTAGCTACATTTGCTCACAGGTGCTTTGAGGCTACGTCTCTCCTACAAACAAATCCATTTTTGTGGCTGATGCTCATTTATTTTGATGGTGTTTTATGATGCCGCACATCACTAAGGGCACAGTGCAGAAAACGAGACGGATACATTTCATAAATAAATCAAGCTCAAAAGTCGAAAGAAAACTAATTTAAGAGCATCTGTGTCTTATGATGAATCCAAGTTCACTCGGTACACGACTGAGGGGCATAACTCTCAAACCCCGACTGGCAACCAGTTTTTCAACTTAGCAAAAAGTTGGAAGACAGCATTGGCTCTGCTCGCCAAGATCAGTCCCCCCAAAAGCAAAGGGCTCTCCCATTGGGTGAACAGCAAGGGAGGCCTTGGCCAAGCCCAATTGGCAAAAAAATTTCTCAGCTTTGCAGAGAATTGGAGGGTTGATGTCATCGCCTCTGTTCACCCACTCAGTTCCACAAAAGGCAAAGGGCTCTCCCATTATGTGAACAGCAAGAGAGGCCTTGGCCAAGCCCCTGACTGGCAAACAGTTTTTCAAATTCACACAAAGTTGGAGGGCTAGCAGCACTGGCTCTGCTCACCTAACTCAGTCTCCCAAAAAGGCAAAAGGCTCTCCATTACATAAACAGCAAAAGAGAGGCCTTGGCTGAGCCCTTGCTTCAAGCATATCAGCTGCTTACTCCCATTTAGCTTGGCTCATGCTTAGAAGCACTGTAAGGTGAAGTGTTTTGCTGCTTAGGCTATGGCCAATGGGACCAAAGAGCCCTTTGCCTATTAAGGAGCCCTTGGGAGAAAGTGCCTGAAGTGCATAATAGTGCGCATGGCAGGGAAAGTCCTTGGGATCACAAAGTGATGCTGGAAATCAAACTGGAATTCTCTGTAGGTCTGATTCCTCCCCACATCCTGGACCTCAAGTTGCTCCTTCCTTCCTTCATTCAACACACAGTTGAAAAAAAAGAATGAAGTTACTCCTTTAAAAGAACGTTTTTAAGGGATCTGCAATTAAAGTAACTTCTTTCTGACAGTGGCCCAAGACCCTCAATAAAAAAAAGAAATTGGTGTGCAAATATATTTTCACATAAAAGGTGCTGAAATAGTCTTTGCTAACCCATCTTAACGTTTGTTATTCAAATCTACCTCTCAAACGATGAAGTGTTAATTATCACCTACTCCAGAAGACAGAAGGGCATAGCAGAGAAGAATGTTGTCAAATTCAAGTGGGGGGGGAGGAGAAGGGGGGGCAGGTCCTCCATTAGGAAAGTGAACACACTTTTTGAGATCAAATCCCAGAAAAGCATCCGCATTCACCTGTGTTAGCCACGTACCACCTAGCTGGGAGCAAGCTGGGCTTCATGTTGGACATGCACAACTTCTGAGTGTCTATCCACAGACGGGTCATCGGTGAACTGTTGAGGTCCGCTCCATGCTAGGCAACCCCCCACCCCAATTCCACAATCCTAGGCAGATTGCAAGAAGAGGCTTTTTGATCCCAATGGGTCACTGTACATGGCTGGTGGCAGCCCTGCCCCAAGGGAAATTGACCATAGCAGGTAGTGGATTTTTAGCATCGTTACTGATGACGGTGCTCTAGTCTCAAGGGGCATCCATCCATCAATATGATTTCCTTGGCTAAGCCATGCTGAGATGAAGATTCCGTAGGACTGGAACAGAAGAACTGACCCGATAGATTGTGCCCCCGTATTAATTAGAGGAAGGGGAGGACTGCCGGATTCCTTCACCAGAGATACCCCCTGCAGGACTTTCAGGCTGTCCCTTGCAAGCCGATATAATCTGGTATGTCAGTAGGCCGGCGGCTCAGTTTCGAGAACTTACTTAAGATGCCTTCCACCGCATCGTGCTGGATTAGCTTCACGCTGGAGATCTTCACGTCCGCTCCCGTGCATTCAACGAAAGCGTCTCCTTTCCCTCGCTTCTCTATCACAACATCGTCCGGGAGGCCATAGCCTTTAGAAGAAGATTAAGGAAAACTAATTGGGTGGGTTGCTACAACTTGGGAGCTCAAAGCACACACACACACACCCCTGAGCAGTGTTAATATCACGGGGCCTCCAAATTCTTTAGCCAAATTCTACCTGTAGGGCAGCCACTGATTATCCCCCATTATCAGGAGTCACTAATCTTTCTACTGTGCCAGAGAAAATGCCCTTGCCAAGAATGGTACCACTGTCTGAATTTAGAGGCAATTATCCCCGGCAAATGTTTTCTTCTTTTCCTGTAGCTGCTCTTGGCAAATGAAGAACGGCTTTGAAACCCCAAATGCATTGGGGTATTGAACATTTGTTGCCCTAAGTCGTCCATGTGTCTTCTGAAGTTTTCTAAGTAACAATAATCCTGGTTTTATCTAATTTATGTTGTCATTAGAAGGGTTTCAGAAATAAGGCACGGAAAGAGACTTGGACACTCGGTAAATTAGCTTTTCGTAAGTGTTCCAAGCTCTTCACATAGAATATCTCAGCAGTCTTACAACCACCGTTAGTAGGGCCATTCGGATTCCCAGATTACAGATGGACACCATCAGAGAGCAGGTTGTTTAAGTTAATTGCCAAACTAGGACTCGAATTCAGGACCTTGACCCCAATGGAATATTGCATAGGCGGAGAACAGCTTAAGATAAACTCCTCCTCTCCCCATTCTCATCTCCGATTACAAACAACCCCACTTTTAAGTTATGCATTATATACCAATTTATATTTCACTGTACCAGGAATAGCCTTCTACTATGGTCAAGCCACCAGTCATGATTCATCTTCCTGGCCTATTTCTGCATTCTATTTTTTTTTTAAGTTGTCATCCTTGTTCCAGTGGCAGTGGGTTAAATCCTTCCCCCATCCGTTTTAACAACCCAAAAAGTGCTACAATGCTAACTAAGCTATCCACAATTGTTTACATCGAGCCACTTAGAGAAATTTACGAGCGCGTAAAGCTTTTACGGCCTGTCCCGGGAAAGAATAATGATAAGGCAGGTGATAATGCAGATACCATTAGAAAAACAAGAGCCTACACTGTTCTGGGATAAGAAAGAGTACCCGTCCACCCCGGTTGGAGACAGGGATCCAACAAGAAGCTGCTCTCTCGTTAAGACAAAAACAGTAGAAAAGATTCCTGAGGGCAAGACCTGTTGGCCCAACTGCATGTACAAAGTCATTGCACACAGAGGGAAGGAAGTGGGATTCAGAGAACTGGACAAGCCTTCCCTACTCTATACGTTGGCCTGACATGAACAGAGAGCCAACAAATTGTATATTGGAAGCAGTGATTTTCTAAGGTTGCATTATCACCTCCCTGGATATTGCACCACAGTGAATGTTCGCAACTGGATTTTCCCATGTGGACAAGCGGGTCCAGCTGCAAGTTACTGCGGCAACTCGGCGACGATGCAATACCCAACAATGTGTAGATGCAGCCTTACCATTTCCTACTGTACCACCCATTCAAGTGGGGCTGGCATGTTCAGTCATGGGGGAACAACATTTGCACACTCGGTTCTGCTCTCTTCTATATGTACATGGATCCTGTACACACACGCGCACACACACGTGTGTCATGTTTACAAGCCTAGTGAGCCTTCAAGTCTGCTATCAATCAGAGGAGAGGAGAGGACTCCCATCCACCAACATTCAAGGCCATGAATCGACCTAACCCTCTTTTAAAATCATCTGTGCCTGCAGTCATCACTATTTCCACCGGCAGCAAAGTAGGATTTTCTCTTTTTTGTCTGAATTGAAATCTATTTTCCAACACTTCCATTGGGTTCCCCTGAGTTCTTTTAGTATGACGGGGGGGGGGACGACTCCCTCCTTTCATTTTCTCAACCCCAAGAATAATTTTATAGGCTGCTATCATGTCGCCAGTGCGGTGTAATGGTCAAGAGTGGCGGACTCTAACCTGGAGAACTGGGGATTGATTCCCCACTCCTCCTCCTGCTGGGTGACCTTGGGACAGTCACAGTTCTCTTAGAACTCTCTCAGCCCCACCTTCTTCACAAGGTGACTGTTCCGGGGAGAAGAAGGGAAGGTGATTGTAAGCCGCACTGAGACTCCTTAAGGTAGAGAAAATCGGGGCATAAAAACTAACTCTTCTTCTTTTGTAGGTTGAAAAGTCCCAGAGCCACCAGCCTTTCCTCAAAGGAAAGATTCTACAACAACTTAGCAGCTATCCTCGGTACTTTTTCCAGCTCTACAATACCCCTTTTGAGACACGGTTTTATTCAGGACTGCATTTGACTAATTTTAGTTTTATTTATTGGCAAGTCATCATTGAGATTATAAATTGTGGTCTTTTATGTATTTTTATCATTGTTTTTATATACATTGTAAGCGGCCTCAAGTTCCGCAAGGTGGAAATGTGGCTAATAAATGCTTTTAAAGGTAAAGGTTCCCTTGCTCGAAAGTCAATCGAGTCCGACTCTAGGGTTGTGGTGCTCTTCTCCGTTTCAAAGCCAAAGAGCCAGCGCTGTCCGAAGACATTTCCGTGGTCATGTGGCCGGAATGACTAAACACCAAGGCACACGGAACACTGTTACCTTCCCACCGAAGTGGTACCTATTTATCTACTTGCAATTTCTTGTTTTCAAATTGCTAGGTTGGCAGGAGCTGGAACTAGAGATGGGAGCTCACTCCGTCATGCAGGACCCAGGTCTCGAACTGCTGAACTACTGACCTTCCACAGCCTGCAGTTCAGCGTCTTAACCACTTGAGCCACCGCAGCTCCTGCTTTTAGCTGATAATAAATAGGGCAACCAAAACTACACACAGTATTCCAAAATAGCTTTATACAACGATGTGTAGTTTCCCCTCCCCAACTTTGTCTTCACGACAACCCTGTAAGGTTGGTTAAGTCAAGAAAGCATGACTGACCCAAGGGAGAGCAGAGCTCCACACAGTTGAGTGGACATTCGAACCAAGATCTCCCAAATTGTAGTCCAACCCTCTACCACACTAGCTCCCAGGAAGACCGGTAACTGAGCACCAAGTCAGTAGCCCTTCCTGCTCCTGGCATTCAGAGGTACTCTGCCTCCAAATATGGAGGTTCCACTAATCGGCACTGACAGACTTGGGGGGGGGGGATCTAGCATAACCATCCACTTTGCAAGTTTTAACCAAAGAACAGGATAGAAGTTTTTAAACGAAATTAACAATTCCCCTGAACTAGCGCCCATCACGTCTGGTGATAGCGAGATCTGTAAATTAATTTAATTGCACATGGTATTCGGAACTGAACTTTTTTGTGTGCATAAGTTTATGCAGCGACACATCCCTCAGCGGTATGCCAAGTCCTCCCAGGCAGCCAAAACTGAGCAGTGCAACAACCACAATCGCCTTGTCGCTGTGACATTTCGTTCCTGGACAAGGACTCCATTCCGTGCGTTCTCTTCACGCACCCCTCCTGTATCATTAACACTCATCCAGGGTCGTTAATACCCCCGCATCGTTAAAATGTCACCCGACGCTGCTGATTATTATTATTTGCCGCATCTCTCGCTACTTTCATAAGTCTTTCAAAATGACAAGCGATAACACTTCCCAGCACTTGTTCGATCGCCGAGCAAACCAGATGCACGCTTTTGTTCCTTAAAAGCCGGCGGCCCTGTGCCGTCTGGCCCCCTTTCATTTTCTTGCTATCGTTTTCTTGACCTCCCCGATAGGATGCAATTTGTCATAAATACCACCCCGAGTTCCCAAACCATCATATTCTCGACTCCGGCAGATAAAGAACTTTATTGAGACCCCTGCCTCCTGGAGGAAAGCTGCATGCCAGTGGACGTATCTCTGGAAATCGAACCTTTGAGGAGGGAAGCCAAAGAGAAGCCCCCCTCCCTTCCGTCTCCACATATGCACCAGAAGAGAAAGGAGGCAGAGGAAATCGAGCTGAAGCAGCAGGAAATTAAACCTCTCGGCTTTCTCTCCATTAAGGAGTTTTGCGAAGATAAAGATCGAGGCTGCCGCATAAGCCGGCTCCAAACCGCTGGGCCCGCCCCGCTGTGATATACAACCCATTATATTAACAGGTGTGTAACGGCAGACATGACGTTTCGAGTAAAAGCTCCCCAGGCGTAGGATGGCCTACATGGTCCACAGGACAGACTTGCAACAAACTTGCTGAAGGCCGGGAGACCACCTGGGACCCTCACATTCAGCAATTTGGAGCCAGCAATGCGCAAGCGGGAATATAAATGGAGTTAGTGCAGTTCCACTCATGCAAGATCTTGTGCAACACCTAGCGCTTTCCTTCCTATATATATAACAGTACCCAGCTGATTTATGGCAATCCCTTAGGGTTCTCAAGGCAAGAGAGGTTCAGAGGTGGTCTGCCACTGCCTGCTTCTGTGTCACAACCGTGACCTTCCCTGGTGGTCCCCCTTCCAAATACTAACCAGGGCCGAACCTGCTTAGCTTCTGAGATCTGACGAGATCGGGCTAGCCTGGGCCACGCACGATGTTGCACAGATGGAAAAACAATGGGGACATAAGTCTGACTTCGCGCAAGCAGTTACTGTGGTCTTTTTCTTGCGTTTCCGCTTGGCGCAAGAACTCCAGCAGAACGTTTGCACTGGATCCAATCCGCTACCTTGAATTGTGGGCGGGGGAATAAAAAAAAATAAGCAAGCATTGCAGGGAGGGAGCTACATGGTGGCCACTGAAAGTTGTGCACCAGCTTTTGAGAAATGATGAAAGCGTTCCATTGTGCAGTCACTTCCTCTGGATAATTTCAAAGGGGTGGCCAAGTTTCCCTGGCAAGGTAAAATTAAACAGAAGTCCACTAGCACCTTCAGGGCCGGTCCCAGGGGTTTTTTTGCAGATTAGGCGAGGATATCTTCTGGCACCACCACCACCCCCGTGCGCCCACCAATTTTCAAACATACAATGCATTTTAGGTATTGCAAGGCCAGAAAGATAGACAGACTGACAGATGATGAAACTGCATTGAAGCTGGGCTCGGACCTCCTCCCTCGAGAACTTTTTTAGACACACACACACCCCAATTTCAAGGCAGCTCCTTCTGAGCAAGAAGGCTGTGCATCAGGGCCTCACACCCAAGGCCTTCCTGAAACCCCGACCTTAAAGCCACGGGTTTCCTGCGCTGGAGAAAGCCCCCTTGGGCGCCAGTCGGGTGAAAACCAGAGGCTAGTTGAAAGCCGGGCGCGAGACCCTTGCTCTCTGCGTGCCGCACAGAGGATCGTGCTTTGCTCTGGGAGGGAGGGAGGGAGGGAGGGAGGGAGGGAGAAAAAGGAAGGAAGGAAGGAAGGAAGGAAGGAAGGAAGGAAGGAAGGAAGGAAGGAAGGAAGGAAGGGCAAGACAGAGAGGAAGGAAGGAGTGGAAAGGAAAGGGGAGAGAGAAAAAGAGAGAAAGAGAGAGAACGAACAAGGGAGGGGGTGGATTCTCCGATGCCAGCCATTTGCAGAGAAGCGGGGCGGGGGCAGAGCCACGCTGCCTCCTGCCTGGTCTCTCCCCCGTTTTTTTGGGAGCAGCTGGAAATGGGCGCTGGAGGAAGGGGCGCAGTGCCCAAAGAGGCCGGCTCGAGAGGCCTCCGGGAAAGGGAGCTGAGCAAAAGCACCGGCTCGACTGCTTCAATAACATTTTCATTTGAGATCTGTTCTCCCCCCCCATCCTCCTCTTATAGCAGCCTCTGGCTGCTGCTGCTGCTGCGTGGCTCTTCCACGTGGCTGGCAGCTCCTCAGCTTAACCCAGCGGCTCTTCCATGCGGCTGGCGGCTCCTCAGTTTAACCCCTTCATGCCTGCAGAGGAAGAGGGAAAGGCACCTGTCCCGCCCTCCCCACGGAGGAGCGTCGCCCAGGCTGCCCTCCGCCATGCCCTCTGCAGCTCCCAATGGGGCTACTCAGGAGGAACGCGGCGGGTGGGCATGGGGGGGAGGATCTGGCACGTCTCTGAGCCTGGAAGCGGGGACCAGCGCCCGCCCGGGGAGGTCCCTTGCTGTCCTCTGCCTCCTCCTCCTCTTTCTCGCATTATAGGAGACCTGATTCCCCGCATAAGCTTCCTCCACCACCACCTTCCCGCGCCCTGACATGGCCCCCGCCCAGCCCCACAGGGCACTTCACAGACGTCGGGAGGGGAGGGTGGCGATGGGTGGCGAATCAGAGATGGGCGCAAGCAGGGAAGTCTGGGCCCCGCGGGTGGGGGGGCAGTGCGCTTCCTCCCCACCGGGCAAGGAGCTGTCGCCCTTAGTCCCCCCCCCTCCGGTTCAGAGGTGTGCCGCAGCTGCCAAGGGCTGCATGGGGTCAGGCGCCAGGAACACGCTACTCCTCCTCCTCCTCCTCTGGAGAGCAGGGGCAGCAGCAGAGTTCTTGGGGCTGAGCAGTGGGCTTTAGGTGGGACAGGGGCTTTTGGCGGGGGGCGGCAGGGCAGTTTGGCGCCCTCCTCGGAGGCCCGCCCTAGGCAAAATTCTAGTTTGCCTAGTGAGTGAGCCGGCCCTGAGCACCTTAAAGACTAAAAGAATTTATTGCAGCTATGGACCGCTCAGGGACATACGCAATGATGCATCTTACCAAGACAGCTTCGACTCTTGAAAGCTTATGCTGGAATAATTTTTGTTATTTACAATACATATAATCTTGCCTTTTCTCCTCAGACTCAAGGCAGCTAACAAAGCAACAACAAAAATAAAACGAAAGCCCATTTTAATGATTTCATGTTTTGGTGAGTGTGTTTCTTTAAATGTTTAGTGTGACTGCAGTAATGTAAGGAGAGTGATAGAGGGAGATAAGTGTGATGTGATTAGTTGATGACTGAGAGTGTGGGAGGAGAGGTGTCTCCGAGGGAATTCAGTGTTCATGAAGAGATGAGTGTGGAGAGTTTTTGTGGGAGTCTGTGTGACAGAGGAAGCAGTTGGAGTTTAGTTTAGCCTGTGTGGCTATGAGAAAGTTCAGGCTGTGTGGCTATATATGAGAGTTCATATATATATGAATTGAGAGAGTTCAGCCTGTGTGGCTACATGAGCAAGAGAGTTCAGCCTGTGTGTCTACATATGAGAGAGAGAGATAAGCCTATCAGAGCTGAGTTTTGGTGTATGAGAGACTGTGTGTGACGCCAAGCTTTGTCAGTAATATTTTCTTTCTTCAACAACAGTTCAAAAATACCCAGAAGCCTATTTTGTTCTTTTATAAATAAATCATTATTTGTTTAAACGTATCCCAGCAATCAGAACAGTCCTTCCTCAGGGCCACATAGTCCTCTGAAGCGCCCAGACACTGGGTCATTCTACCAAAATATAGAGAGATTTGGAATTTTTAATTCCTGGCGGCAGCAGAATCTACTAAGTTCAAGTACACAGAGTGGGTTTTAAAGGAGAAACAGTCTCCCCAATAGGTGAGGACGTCACACCCATCCACAACACAAACAACGCACCAGTCCTTAAAGTACCACTGGACCCCAATGTCTCAGCACAGAGAAATGGGCTGCAGAGAAGAAGAAGAAGAAGAAGAAGAAGAAGAAGAAGAAGAAGAAGAAGAAGAAGAAGAAGAAGAAGAAGAAGAAGAAGAAGAAGAAGAAGAAGAAGAAGAA